AAGCTTGTGGATCCAAAATCTATTCACCTTCATCATCTTCCAGAAGGTATAAAGTCTCAATCTTGGTGATTCCTTGTTTAGATCTAGGCTAGTTAGGGTTTTTGGCATAGTTTGGTCCCTTGGGTTGATTCATGTGAGTATAAGTTACTCCAGAATATTAGAATAGTAGATCTGATGTTTTTGAGGTCCATTGTTCATAAAAATGGCATCTTGATGGATTTATCTCAACCATGCAAGAGTTGATGTTTATATTATGGAGTTATAATGTTAAAAATGAGTGTTAGGCCTCTTTGAGCCATGCAAAGGCATCAAGATGATGACTTTATCATTTAAGACGTTTCCCAAGAACAAAATCTATGATTTGGACGTTTGGACTAAAGGAATTAAGTGCTTAATGTGAGTTTTAGTCATCAATGGAGTACGTTGGGCATAAGTTGGTGTACTCTCAGCGTAATGCGAGTCAGCCTCGTTATTCCCTTTCTGTTAGAGCTTGTATGCGATGCAATAGCAGGGTGGTACGCATAACGTACTCACCAAAGGACCTTTAGGTCATCATTTGGGCGTTGGGTCTTTATGGGTTTGGACCATTGTTTGGCTTAGGTCTTTATGGGCTTGGTCCATGGTTAGATGGGTCAATTAGGGTGAAATGGTCTTTTACCCTTAGCATTTTAGATGATAATCTGGGCCATTTTCTATGGGTTATTACCCTGATTGTTTATTAGGGTTAATTTGGATAACGTTCAGTGTGAGGAGTCGTGGTAGCAGCAGCCCGAGAGTGTGATTTGTCTATCTTTAGACTGAGGTACGTCTCCTCACTGTACTTGTGGGTCAAAGGCACTAATACCGGACCACTGGATTATGATGTAGGATAGTAGTGATCTTTATGACACTTATTGATATGTTTGTATGTGCTTGCTGTCTTTGTGACTCTTGCTAGTATGACTGTATGCTTAGTTGTAGGGGTGAAATAGACCCGTACCGGTTGAAAGATATCGAAGGGGTCAGATGGGACTCAGAGAGTCGGAAGGGACTCGGTGATTCGGAAGGGACTCAGGGAGTCGGGAGGGACTTAGGGGTGAAAAAGATATGTACATGTTTTACTATGATATGTATGTATGATGTATTGTATGTGGTATTTAGGGAACTCACTAAGCTTTATGCTTACGTTTTAAGTTTATGTTTCAGGTACTTCCAGTTCTAAGGGAAGGGCCCAGCCTGATCACAATGCATCCACCCGTGTTTCGCTTTCGACCTTGACCTTCTAACTGATTAGGAGTTGTTTACTATGGAGACCCAAGTTGAGCTCGAGCAGATGAAAGAACTATTTGAGACTGAAATGGCGGCAATGTGTGCCAAAACCAGATTGAATATGAAGATCTTCTTGCAGATTTTCCAAAAACCACTTCCAGTTATCTTTATTTTCAACACATACCACAGTCCATGCAATTGGAAATATATGATTATTGTCATCCCGCCCAACAACACATATTAACTCCCCATTACACATTACTTTTAAAAACACTCATCCAAATTTATAATCCTTCTACACCCATTTCTCCAGTCCTACTTCAATCCCTCAAAACATACATAAATCTTGTTAAAGTAGTTTTTCCCATATTGCATAGAATTGATAGACAATTTCATAGTTGAACTTCGATTATACCTTCTTATCTCATTAACATAAGACCACAACTTTGCATATTTTTCACTATGGTGCCTTCAATAAAGGACACTACATGTTGCTTGGCTCTCATATGCTGACCCATACCCACCTCTATGTCAAATTTATTTTTCACTTCTTCTCTTAGCATTCGAACGTTGAATTTCTCTTTTTCAAGAACTTCTCTAGTGAAATGACTATCAATCCATCTATGGTTAACAATTGAACCAAGTTCGAAATTTCTAGAACAATTATGATCAATAATAAGAGACTTAATTTCGAATGATTGCTCCTCACTCATCCATGAAGCTTAGAGCCTAGATGTACAATCACCACCACACACTTAACCAATAGTCTTTTACTGTCATTTTTCCATAACACAATTGATAGCCATTGGCTACCGCATAATTGCACAAAATGTGTTTCAATTGTTCGAGGTTGGTAAATCTCATACCTTGAATAAACAACAGCTTCTTTTAAGGTATATCTTCATTGAACCTTGTTTTACCATTAACTTTTGAGACATTATCATCTTCTGGGACATCATTAATTATCTATGTCAACCTCATTTTGATTTTCCTAAGTTACTCCTTCATAACACAATTGATGTATGTTGCCATCGATAGGATATATGAATGGGAAGAAGGGTTTTTTGTTTCAAACGAAAGAAAGGAAGGAAGTATTGATGATTGTGTCTAATTTAAATCTATGTTGAATGTAATGGAGTACACATGGCAATGACATGGCACCGCCAATGCTTACATGGCACTCAATGTTGATGACCAGCCTAAAAATGACCGACTTACCCGTGAGTTTTTTCGATAATGACATTTTAAACACTAAAAAATAGACTTAAAGTACGAAAAAATAAAAATAAAAAAATAAAAAATTAAGTGGCGTTTTAAAACAAATAGGAAAAATTTGTAGGGTTAAAATGACATTTTCCATAGATTAAAGTATTTGGATGCTTTAAGGGTCTAAGTGTTAGGTAGAGATCCTCTTAGGTTTAAAAACATAAACAAAGCAGGAGCCAAACAAGATTTCATATTATTACAAGATATTTTGTGTTATTGATATAGTGTGACGTTATAATTTCATGTACTTGTTCAAACATGAAACAGAGATACCTCTTAGGTTTGAAAACTTCGCCGGACAATTGTTGAAATTAGTACAAAACTTTCTGATAATGTTGATTTTGTTTGTAAAATATTTCATATTTTATGTAGTAGTTATTAGTCAAAACATTTTTTAAGTTTGGATGGAAGGAATGGGATATTATAAAAGCATAGTAGCTAGTAGGCAAACATTTCCTACAGCTTGGAGTTGCAGACAGAGAACATATATGATGGCTTCCTTCAGATTTTCAGTGGCTTCCTCTTCTGCCATGCTACTTGTTCTTGCATTCCTATCTTCCATGGCTCAAGGAGACAATTCTATGCCACTTACTCTCACTCCTTTCTCCGGTAATTAAGCAAATATATAATAATATAACCCTATCTCTTACAAATAACAAATTCATCACATTTTGTATGTACATATATACTAATTTCTAACACTTATGCATGTCAATGTTATTCGACACTATAGACAACATCTGTGATCAAGTCAACTGTGGTAAAGGAAACTGCTCGGTTGATCTCGGCAAGCCATTTCAATTTGTTTGCCAGTGTGAACCTGGATGGAAGAGGACTCGTTCCAACGACGACAATGAAGAAGATGATCATCAGTTTCTTCCTTGCGTCATTCCCAACTGTACAATAACTATTCACTCACCAAAATTAATGACGGTTTTAAACAGACAAATTAACTAATGACCATTTTTTTCTTTTGTTTTTTTGTGCAGGTACCCTAGACTACTCGTGCATGCCGGCTGCTCCTCCAAGTCCACCAATTCCTGATAATATCTCTGTCTTCGATCGTAATATCTTCCAACTTTGATTCATCTAAACTTTATCTTCAATCATATTCATATTCATATTCATATTCATGGGATTGATTAATTATATGTACTGATCACTTTTAGTTTTTATGGAATTATTTAATTTAATTAGCTTGCTACTGGACATACTGTGGAGAAGGTACATGCACCAAGAATCTTTCGTATACGTATACGCATACATGTGAATGCAATCCCGGATACACCAATCTCATGAACACCTCGCATTTTCCCTGCTTCAGCAACTGTAAGATATTCATCCGTCCGTCCATCCTTGATCATCCACCCAAATTTATAAAAAAAGAAAATTAACCTTATGACTAGTTAATTTGATTTGATGATTATTGCTTTTAATTTTGAAACAGGTGCCATTGGAGCCGACTGCAGAAGACTTGGGATACGGGTATTGGAAGCCACCTCTCCTTCTGGTGATCAAAGTCAAGGTGAGACAGCAGCCTCAGGATCAGGAACGAGTCAAGGCTTGGCAATCAGATTTTTTAAAGTCATTATCTTAATTTGTTGACTTTGACTTTTTTTTTAATTTGACTTTTGGTTTTGCAGGTATGAGATTTCTTCCTGGAGGCTTTCATTGGATTGAAATTATAGTTATATCTGTTATCATGGCTCTATGGAAATAGGAAACAGCATTCGCGTTGCTGATGTTGATTGGTTTGTTTTGAGGTCATCATGTTTCTATTGATCGATATACATGTATTATTAACAATATGTTTTTTGTATGATAATAATAATCATAATAACTTTTGGTTGTAGAAATAAAGGCCCCATCCTTATCCTTATTATTATATAAATCATTCTATCTTCCTTACATTTACAAAATTGTCCATGTACGTCTTTCAAAAAGCTACAGAAAAATCATATCAGAAACATAATAATATAATCAATAATCATTTGGAATAAAAGATTTTCATGTTTTCTAAGCATTTTAGGTTTAGGTTTACAAGTGGAGGTGTCATTCATGCCATACCAGAACATCGTTGTGGCCAAAACGTCATGTTGGGAAAAAAAATACACAATTTTGACAAAAGGAGAATAACATTCTAAATACTGGAATTTTATAAAATACCAAGGTGAAGGTGACATTACAACCTATACAATCTAGGATAGACATGATCTTTAAGATAAATATATTTGATTGTTGGAACATTATTCCGCTACATATATATTATTCAACTCATGAAAATGTTGGTTGGTATATTATTGACTTTGGAAGGTATTTCCCAGAAAATAAAAATAAATAGCAATGTTACTACAACACATATGCGAATTTCCAGAATTTAGAAAAGCACATGATGGTAGAAAATACTCATTATTAGTTTCCATCCACAAGTAAATTAGTTTGAAAAGCTTTTATTAACTAGCAAATAAAATCAATAAATGATAATTCCGACCTAACTCTACACCAAGAAGGCAAGAATACAAACATAGGACCTATACAATGATACATGTATCTATATACAATATAATATATATTAGCTTTCCTGGTTGTAAAATAAAATGATCATGTGTATATTTGTTGGGAGTCCATAGGAGACGACCAGTACCTCAAAAGAGATTCAACAGTTAATCTTCGAGTTGCACTAAGCATGGATATGAAAAACCGACAACCATCTATTTTATATTCCTCCAGCGGATCCCTGTGCCCAAAACTCCTCACATTTACCTGCACACCACCCAATTAAACTTCTTGCTAAGTGATGATGAAACTACATTTCAGCTATTTTATATTTTGCCCAATACTAATAGATATTAAAAAAGTATAGTTAAGTGGCTAAAATTGATAAACAGGTGAAAATAAGTAATTTGCAAACCATGGAATGGAGAAATTACAAAAGTAGCATACCGCTGAATTTAGTCTGTTCATGTTTACAAGATGATCTCTCCAGAAACAATCTAGTGACTTCACAAGAACTGCTCTCTGGAAATACAAGATAGAAACATATATAATTATTTATGTAAATTATGAAGAGGAAAAGGAAAAAGGGGTAGAGAGTAGAGTTACCTCAATTTCTTTGACGTATTCTTCAGCATAACCAGACTCTTGAATGATGTTCATATATGAAGTAATTAATAAATCGCCAAGGTACTTGCGCAGAAGATTAGCAGTAAGTCGATATCTTCCATCTCTGAAGTTCACATCTCAAATAAAAAGTCTTAATCATTGCATTGCATAAAGTAGTTAAGTGGCTAAATCATGTATAAGGGTTTCTTTTTTTTCTGTATTTTACCAAATTAATTAAGAAACAGAAAATTTACGCTACGCACTTGAGTGAGAGTGAATCATCGGAGCATATGGCTAGCCAGCGTTTTAGTGAGGTAGTCTTCTTACGTATGCCTCTAAAGGCATTTGGAGGTTGGGGTAAATTTGGAAAACAGAAATCGTTGATATCTACATCACTCACTTCATCAACATTGGCAAGTGATTGCATTAAAGATTCAACCGTAATTCCCGCACACGACTCTATAAAAACCATACAGAGTTAGTCCAAAGATGAAAAGTATTTTCAAATTAAGGATGTGTGCTGGACTAGACAAAATGAGGAGGGCATTTACGTCTTTTGCGGTGGGACTGGGACATCACCTTTTTGCATTCACCTTTGTCTTTTGTTGGGAGGGACAAGAAATTACAATTTTGCCCCATTGATATCAGAAGGGACAAAAAGTTCTACAATTTTGCCCCACTTCCAAACAAGGCATAAGAGATAGGTCTGAAACGAAATCTCACCATCCAAAATCTTCCCTGAAATTGCAACAAAGTCCTTCAAGAGTTTATCTAGGTTCCAGCTGCTTGGATGCTATTCAATAGACATACAGATTATGGATTGGATATTAGAAATTGAATTTTAGATAAAGAGATTTGATTACCTTCAATGGATTAACATTTCCCAAAACAATTTCGTCGATAACTGCTTGCATGTACCTAGTATCCATGCACAAAACATTTAGATAACAGTGACAAAACTACCATATACACACTTAGGTGTTGTTTCTTTTTTATTTAATGGACTTAATGAGAACACAACTTGATCTGGTAAGGTATTTACTTACTTTTTACTTAATAGAAAAAGTCAAGAGGAAGGAGGTTTTCTCTATTAAGTCATAACTTTTTACAAATTTACCATCATTTTCCATTTCCCTAAGTGGGTTGTCATTATATTTTTTACACCATCATACAGACATCAGTTCATGGGGAAAATAAGTAACAAAGCAAACACTCACTGGAATATGTGATGTGAACAACTCTCAGAATCACCAGTTAAAATTAACTGACGGAGATCATAAACATGCTTCCTTTGCACCTGAAACCAGAAAATTATGCATTCAGTTTTATATATATATATATATATATATATATATATATATATATATATATATATATATATATATAAAGAAAAAAAAAACTAAGGTCGAAGATTGCTCTAAAACAAGCATGCAAAGATACACTCAACCAAAAAGAAAAAAGGAAAGATTCATAAAATTGAGATATTGACTGTTGACTTGGACAATCCATTGACAAAAAAACATTAATAAAATAGGACAAAAAAGTGCAAAAAGAATCTTTCTTGGATCATATCCAAAGAATAAAAAGTGATATAACACATGGACCTAAACTGTATATTACTCTAAAAAAATGCATATGGTGATCAATACTACACAATATACCTCTAACACTTCGTCGAACTCCACAAGGCTCTTTCTTATGTTGAAGAAATACTTTTCTGCCGAAACTTGAAGAGACAGAAGCTGAAATTTGTTTCAATTTTAATAAACAGTTAGAAGATAATATCAAAACAAACTGAAGTAAAAAACATACAGCACATCTGTATCCATCCTTTTAACAAGGTTACACAAACAAATGGGCCAAGGGCCATAAAAAGAAGATGTGGTGAAGGCTTTCATGAAATATATATAAATATCATTTCTTACAACATATGTTACTTCGGATTAGATGCAACAAAATTAACATACTTCCGTTGATTTATTATTACAACATCCTACTTTCATTTCTTCTTATTAACATACAGTGCATTCAGAGATGAGAGAACTAGCCAATTATAGCAAATATCATTGGAATACAAAGCCATTTCACTGCTAAAAGTAGGCAGACTCTTTAAAGTGAAAGTACCATAATATAATAACTGAACATACAATGTTGTATTAGGAAGAAATGGAAGTACATTACTACTTGTTGCGTTTAGCCTTAATACTAAATAAATAAGACTCTCATATATTGAACTATATGTACGCAAATAAAGGAATAAAAAAAGTTAAATGAGTAACAACCAAGACTATTACATCACACCTGTCGGACAATTGTATCACCTTCAATAGGTACATCCTCATCATTAGTAATCCTGGATATAAGTTTCACAGCCCACTCAGTGTCAAAGTTGAACTTCTGAAACATTTCATCCTGCAAACTGTAACATAGATAGGTCAAAATCTTACCTACACCTACATCAACTTTAAGGTTGCCTTGTTAAAAGAGAATGACTAGAATAGATTTCCCTTTTTCACAAGGCATGTGCATGCACATATGACTAACTTAATGGGATCACTCTAACAAAAAACTGTTCATGTCAACTACTCCAGGGACTAATCTATGACGTAATTTAACATGAAGAATTTTGTTCAGATGAAAAGATTGACTTTAAACTTTATAAAAATCATTTAACAGAACTTACCTGACCATGAACCGTGTTGATCCAGGATCTCCTTGCCTTCCTGCTCTGCCACGAAGCTTTGTAAAGCAAGAAAAAAATTTAAAATGTGAGTGAAAGTATATGATAAATTTATGTAAAACCTTAAAACACAATATTGATGCCAAGTTACACTTACCTGATTATCAATTCTTCGGGACTCATGCAAAGATGTTCCAATGACATGGAGACCACCAAGCCGTTTGACTTCCAATCCTTCATGAAAACAATGAATCTCACAGTCCTTTAGAACCGATAAATAGGCAATTGCAATGCAAGGACCAAGAGGGTACATCTCTGCCTGTTCTTCCACAAGCCTATGCAGTTCATCTAAACCCACTGACTGGCTCATTTCAATTGACTCTAAAATTATTGATTTTGCCTTCTCATATGTCCAACTCTTGTTCTCACTTTTGCCCACGTATTTAGCTGCATTATTTACTCAAAAACATGTACCATTAGAGCTAAATGCAAGAAATATTATATTATAGCATCCTACTTTCATTTCTTTCTATTACAGCATCATACTTTCACTTTTTTTCTTATTATGTCGTTGTACTTTAAAAAATCTGCCAGTACTTCCATTTATTTTTTTTTATTATTAGGAGGATATTATAACTAAAAAAACCTACTACTCAAATTATAGCAGTGAAAGTTGCTTTGTATTTGAATGACATTGCTATGACTGGGTGCATTTTTCAAAGTAGAATGTTGTAAGAGGAAGAAATGAAAGTAGGATGCTATAATAAGCAAATCAACCTGCATGAAGTCATAGATTACTAACCCATTAGAGCCGTCTTAGCTAGCAAAGCTAATGATGATGGTCCAATTTTCATTTTTGATAATACCTACACAACCGGAAGATAATGATAAGGAACTGATTAAGCACAGAATTAATATATTTGAGAAATCACCTTTTGTGACTTTGGGTCCTCAACCTCAACATCAGGAGTATCATGACTCATATGTGAAAGTATGCTATCCTCTATAACTTCTTTTGCAAGCATCTGAAATTAACATAACATTAACCTATTATTGCATAAAAATAATATGACATTTGGGATTGGGAGCTACAATTATTATTTATTAAATGAGAACCACTGAACAAGCCAAAGCCAACCCACCTTGGGGTTACCTCCCAATATAATGTCTGTGCCCCTTCCAGCCATATTTGTAGATATGGTGATAGCATATTTTCGTCCAGCTTGGGCCACAGTTTGAGCCTCTCTTGCAGCATACTGAAAACAATAATCAAGTCACATTGTTAACCCAAAACCCCCCCCCCCCCCTACCTATCTATTTTCACTCATAAATCCGAGAACAAACCTTTGGTCGTGCATTGAGGACATTGTGGGGAATCTTGCTAACCCTCAGCAAAGCAGACAAATATTCTGAGTTCTCAACACTGCACCAATAAAAAAAGATAAGAAAATATCTTCACACTTGGTTGCATGCATAAAGATTTAGAATACCACAAAATCACAAGTGAAGAATGAATTTCATTGTAGTAGTAGTACCTAGTGGTCCCCACTAAAACAGGACGACCAACTCTGAACATGCTTTCAACTTCTGCACGAACATATTCCCATTTACCACGAGCATTCTATTTGCAAAACAATTAGAAGCATTGTTAAAGATAATAAAAGGGTGTTTTCAACAAGAACAGATAGAAGGATAGAGTTTCTTACTGCAAAAGCTTGGATGGGTAAATCATGACGAATATTTGCCATATTTGTGGGCACTTCAATAACAGGCATCTGGAACATTTTCAACAACTCCTTTTCCTGTAAGAATGGGAGCAATAAGTAGATATCGGCATAATAATTAATGCAAAAGAATCCTGCAGTTGATTGAACTTGAGGACAATATGTAATTGGGTTAAATGCAAGAAACAGCATCCTACTTTTATTTATTTGTTTACAATATAGCATCCTACTTTCATTTCTTTCTGCCATATTAATGTACTCTTTAAAAAATATATCTTTCATAAGGCACTGTACTTTGAAAACTCTACCCGGTTGCAGTTACAGCTCTATACTGTCAATATTTTTCTTATTAGGGCATTGTACTTTAAGAATTCTATCAAATTATAGCAGTGAAAAATTTCTGTCCATTTGACAGACATTGCTATGATTGGGTAGATTTTTCAAATCCAATGCTGTAAATATGAAGAATGAAAGTAGGATGCTATAACACACAAATAAATGAAAGTATGTTCCTATTTCTTGCACTTAGTCCATATGTAAAGTCATAGAATGTGAATACTTCAGTTTTTGCAGTCCCTGTCATCCCCGAAAGCTTTGGATAGAGCTTAAACATTGATTGGTACGTGATCTGCGCCACTACAACTGAATCAGCCTACAAAATCCAAGACAAAAACAAGTTAATAGCTTTAAACAAGAGTTATCAAAAAGAATGATATGTCCATCATCAAAAATCAATATATATACCTGGATTGGTAAACCTTCTTTTGCCTCCACAGCCTGGTGAATCCCCTCTGACCATCGTCTTTTTTCTTCCACTCTCCCCGTCAACTTCAAATAATTGAAATTAAAAATGATTATTAATTTACAACTATATAACAAGTTTTTTCTCCTAAAATGAAAATAGGATGTTTTAATACCTCGTTTATTATAAGAGCTTTCCCATTTTTAACAATGTACTGCACATCTTGGCGATAGAACTCCTTGGCTTTCAAAGCATTCATGACAAATCTACATTATATTAATGATAAGAGTCCAAACAATAACATACGAAAATAAGAATATATATATATATATATATATATATATATATATATATATATACCTAGCCCAAGGGTCATTCTCGTCCCAAAGATCTTTTGTTTCTAGAGCCATCTCAGCTAGGGCTATTCCTTCTTCTGTCATCTCCACTGAATTATCCTTAAGCTGTATATTGTAATGCTGTGTAGTGAAATAAACATCGAGATACTCATACAATGGAGATGTAGACATCAAAAAGAAAAAAAGAAGGGCAAGAAAGTAAAATACAAGGCCACGCATGAGAAGCTCGGCTACTTTGGCAGCAACTGGATAACGTGCAGCATCCTTGCTAGCCTGAGATACAGATCAAAATATCAAAGCTTCCTTTTGTTTTGAATTGATTTCCCCAACTGTGTCATCACTTTCCCAAATACTTTTTAAACATCATTTATCTGTACAGCACTCAAAGTAAGAAGACATACCTCACCACTTATCAGCAATGGGTTTCTTCCCTCATCAATTAGGACAGAATCAACTTCATCAACTATTGCAAAATGAAATGGTTTTGGCCTGATAAACATTGTGCTATTAATACTACCAAGAGACACTTTAAATGAAATCTGCCTTAGTAATTAGTATGAAAAATATGGTAATACCATCTCATAACAAGTTGCCCGCTGCTGCCAGCAAGATTGTCTCTCAAATAGTCAAAACCAAGTTCCTAGCATCATTAAATGTACAGTGATGGCAACATCCAACTACACTTGTATAAGAAAGTAAACAAAAGAAAACTTCAGCAGAAAACTCATGAAGAAACTTACTGAATTATTGGTGTATGTAATATCACATCTATAGTTAGACCTCCTTTCCTCAGGTTTCATGCCTCTCTACATATGATGTGGTAATATACGTAAAGAGGAAGTTATATAAGGAGTACCTTATGCAATATGCATATCATAGAAGATGGCTGGCTACATGTATTTATAACAACTTACTTGGATAAGACCAACAGAAAGACCTAAGAAACGATGAACACGACCCATCCACTCAGCATCACGTTGAGCAAGGTAATCATTGACCGTTACCACTGTACAATAAATCAACAAATTATGGCTGCTCCTGCTCCTTACTTACCAATCAAAATCAAATCATATTTTATATTTGGAGAGCCACATGGTCCAATCCGCCTTTCTATATGTTGCTCTCTCCTTGAGAGAAAACCAAGGACTCCAAATATCTAACAATTGTACTATAGTTTTGCAAGGAACTAACTTCCATATACACAATTTCAAAAGATTTAAAATCACCACAATAAATGAAAGAGAAAACAGAAAGAAAGATATATGAGTACAGAAAATATGAAGTACAATACCCTTACCATGAACACCCTCGCCAGTCAAGGCATTAAGATATGCAGCCAATGTAGAAACCAGTGTTTTCCCCTCTCCAGTTTTCATCTCAGCAATAGACCCATCATTAAGCACTGCACCACCAATAATCTAGCAATTGCAACACCAAACTTACTTAAAGTTATTTAACCGAATTTAGCACTTTTTCGATTACAATGAAGAGAGAAAGAGAGACACCTGCACATCAAAATGACGCATCCCAAGCTTCCTCTTGGCAGCTTCGCGAACAACAGCAAATGCCTCTGTAGTACAAGTATGTGAAGTAAATGCCTAAATTCAATTATTAGACACAAAAAAGAAACGAACTTGAATGCATAAACTTGCGTTGAGGGCAGCTATTACTAACCAGCTTGAATATCGGCAAGTGTCTCTCCTTTTCCCAAGCGACGGCGGAACTCAGCAGTTTTTGCAGTTAGCTGATTGATCATTAAAGAATTTAAGATACTTGATATACAAAAACCATCATGCAATGGAAGCACAAAAAAAAAGTCGGCCAAACTTTGGGAAACAATTAGAAGACTCAAACCTGTTCATCAGAAAGCTTCTGAATTCGAGGCTCAAAGGAGTTAACGAACTCTACAAGACGATAATAATCCCGAACAACCCAGTAATTAAGGCTTGTAAAATCTCCCCATGTTTTCGTAACGCGGCCCAAATTTTCCTGAAAATTGAACAGGGATGTGAGGCATTTCATCAAACAGGTAGTGAGCATATAGGTATATAATTGTTTTGGATTTAGAAAAGAGCAAAATAAAGAGAAAGCGTCTTGACTGTACTTTGAGAGATGCTTTAATTAGTATGGGAGTGAAGCGACGGCGTCGAGAACAAAACGAGAGTAGGGGGAAAGGATTGGCAGGTCGTGTACAGAAAAAATTGAAAGGAGGAGAAGAGGACTGATGACGCCTCGTAGTTACGGTGAAAAAGGAGGGATTTGAGATCGCAGACGAAGAAGCCGCCATTCTTGGATGGCCTTGCAGTGCTCAACGGTGTTTCATTCAGCAGAAACTGCCTGCGCGCCTCGTATAACCTCGGGTGATGATTCAATTTATAGCATCCGACTTTTTTTTCATTTTTTTTAGATTTTTAGAAAAAAACTTAAAATAGAAAAATAAAACTAAAGACTTCAGGCAGAATTTCGTATATGTTTTTGCTAAACATCTAAATGTTGTATTTGTCCGATCTAAACTTTAAATATCGTATTTGTCATTCTTAATGTTTTTTAATAGGGAAAATACCGACTATAGTCAAAAAAATGGGAGGTAATTTCAAAATTTAGACATGAAAAATGACAATTCCGGACATAGACATGTATTTCGCGGAGGACCCTCTGCAGACCTCCGCGGAACAATGAAACCTCTACGGAGAGGTTAAATGTTGTATTTTTTTATTAATTAAATATTGGTCCGCATAGATATCTCCGCGAAGGGATTGGTTTGGATGTTCATTAAAGCCTCCGCAGAGGAGGTGACGAGGTGCTCCGCGGAGGCCTTAAAATTTCTGCGGAATGGGTGGTTGCAAGACTTTTAGTGACGGTTTTTTGTGATATAAACGGTTTTTTCATTTTTTTAGATCCATTTGCAATATTAGATCGGTTTTAGTCTTAGAAATTTGTTTTCAAAGAAAATATGAGTTTTGTTATTTTATGTACAGGGGGTTTTTGGCAGATGAGTAATGGGATTAACACTTACGTTAGACCAAAGTTTAACAACTTAGGTTTACTGCTTCCGCCAAATTTTGACCGTCGAATATTGTTTGATTTGGTCAAAAGTAAGGCTAATGTGTTCAATAGTAATATATCATTGTCATTTCAACACCTGGTTCAAGGGTATGTTATGAATATTGTAGACGAAACAGATGTTCATCAACTCAGAAATGTAATTTCTGAAACGAAGGAGATTGTGCATTTGTATTTGGAGGTGAGGGTTGGGTCGAACAGACAGAAGCTGTTGACAAGATTATACCATACAACGTTGAAAACATTGTATATGATACTGTTGAAGAGTGTCCACAAGAAGAAACTATGGCAGTGAATACAGTGGAAGAAGAAATTTTATATGAGTTTGGAAGACTGCGTGACAAAACTTAGTCAGACGATGAAGAATCAAATGAAGGTTGGTCAGAAGATGAGTTCACACACGGAAAAAAAAGCTTCAGACATTTTTTACGGTATGTCTCCCATACCTGATTGTCCTGATCCTATTGTTGAACCTAGACCATTTCACAGTTTAGGACCAAATGATGATATGTTTGTTTGTCAAACGTATGATAACAAACAACAACTAATATTTGCTTTGAGTCTTAAAGCAACAAGAGAAAAGTTTCAGTTTAAGACCAAACATTCTAACAAAAACCGTTATGAGGTATATTGTGAAATTGAGAACTGTACTTGGCGTTTATATGCAAAACACATTAATCCCACTGATGAATTTGAAATCAGGACTTTTAACAACGTGCACACATGTTCGTCATTACAGATACACCCAAATCATAAGCACGCAAATAAAAAAATCATGGGTACTACTATATTGCATGAGATTATGGGAAAAACTCGTTCCAAGGTTTGGAGGCCTAATGAAATATCAAGGGATTTGAATGCTTTGCTGGAAATCAATGTAAGTTACAAACAAGTTTGGCGTGCAAAACAATATGCTATGGAACTGTTGTTGGGATCCTCTGAAAAATGTTTTTCCAAACTTCCTATTTATTTTCACAGTTTGAAGAGGCATAATCCTGGTACAGTAGCCTATATACAAATAGATTCTGAAGATTGTTTCGAGTGTTGTTTTTATGTCATTGGGAGCATGGTAAATACAAAAAACTTCTTGTTATTTAATATATAATTATTTGTAAAAAAAAATTAGAGTGTTTATGTGTTCCATTTTAATATATTGCAGATACTAGCGTTCAAACATTTTTGTCGTAAAGTTATAATTATGGATGGTACCCATTTGAAGGGTGATTTTAAGGAAACCATATTGCATGCAGTAGCTATGGATGGGGACAACCAAATAGTGCCCTTGCGCACGGAATATGCAAAAAAAAGTGTGGTCTTTGCACATGGTTTCTTAAAAAGTTGTATGAATGCGTTGGTGATTGTCAAGATTTGACGTTTGTAACTGATAGGGCCGATGCAATTCGGGTTAGTATTGAAAATGTTTTCCCACATGCTCATCATGGCGTATGTGCTTTTTCATCTACTAGGAAACATAGTACACAGGTTTGGAAAAAATGATAAAACAAAAGTGTTGTTTTGGAGGCTTGTGAGAGCTTACAAAAGAAATGTTTTTGAAGATTTGTGGTATAGATTTATGTAATGCCCCGATTCTCAGGTATTGATTTTAAATAAGAATTTTCTTGATTTCAAGGTCTACTCAACGAGTTGGTTGCCCCACTCGTCGAGTAGCAGCGGGTTGGTCCGCGTGTTTTAGTGACCTACTCGCCGAGTCCAAGAGAGACTCGACGAGTAGGAGCTGGCAGATGAAAACCCTAAATTCCGGGGATTTGCACCCTATTTAAGGACCACTTATTCCCCTTAGCCCCTCTCACTACCTCCCTTGAGTTCAGAAACCCTAATTGTGGTTGCTCTCTATAATTGTGTGCTCCTTAGCTTGGAAGAGGGATCTTTGGAGTAAAAAGCTTGGAGTGCAAGAAGCTTGGAGCAAGGGGCTGTTGTAGATCCGGATTCTTCTCTATCTTGGCATCATCTTGGAGGTAACAAGTTGTTACCTTGGCTCTCTCTTAGTTAGATCTCTTCATTATGGGTTGGGATTTTAGGGTTTTTGTGTGTGGTTCTCCGATTTGGGTCAAGATCTGGGGTTGCAACCTCAGATCTAGACTCATCTAGATCCTCTTTGTCATAAAGCTCCAGCCTTTCTTGAGCTATGGCTTTTCCCTTACCTTAAGCCACTCCTTGAGCTTGTTTTGGGCCATTATCATCTTGCATGCACGTAAAGTTTGCAACTTTACGTGATAAACATGCCCTAGGAGCTTAGATCTGCAGTATGGAGCCTTTGCATGGCTTAAAAAGCATCTGTATGGATAAAGGATTGAAGGGACTCGCGAGTCGCAGGGTCGACTCGGCGAGTCATATGAAGACGGTCCTGAACTCGACGAGTTGGATGAACAACTCGGCGAGTCCGATGAAGATTGCCCTGGGCTCAGCGAGTCAGTTCATTGCTCGGCGAGTCGGCTAGGGTTTTCCCGACCTTTGGACACGTATGAACCCGACGAGTTGTAAAGGGGAAACTCGACGAGTTGGCCAAGAGAGTTTGCGGCCACTGACATTAGGAACTAGACGAGTCGCTCAAGTGACTCGGCGAGTTAGCAAGTTATGCAAGGAACTCGGCGAGTGGTTGGTTGTACTCGACGAGTTGAGGTCAACATGGACTGTTGACCTTGACAGTTGACTTTGACTTTGACCAAGGGTTGACTATTGGACTTCTGGGGTATTTTGGGAAATTGGAAATTTACAAGCATGGTTCTATGGTGCATTCAGGTGGTGGAGTTGTACCGGCAATCCAAGAGCTTGGGTTTATCTTTGAGTCGACAGTGCGAGGTGAGTTATCCTCACTATACTCAAGGGTCTAAGGCACCAAGGCCGACCCTTTGAATTGTTATTGGTTATGCTATGCTAGTATGATCTGTTAGTTCGGTATCCTAGAGGGTAGGACAATAGTATGTGGTATGATCCGTTAGATCAGTTGTTGTCTATAGACTGTTATGTGATTATCTGTTATATGTGCACATCTTTGTTTAGCGGTTGAGGCTTATCTGCTTGTGCGAAAGCCAATAGGCTTGGGCATTCCAACATGTTGGTTGTGGGCCGTGAGTATTCCATCCCGAGGATGACTGGACTCATAGTATGTGGGCATTCCAACCTGTTGGTTGTGGGCCTGGGGTATTCCATCCCGAGGATGATTGGACCCATAGTATGTTCGCATTCCAACCGGATGGTTGAGGGCCTGGGGTATTCCAACCTGATGGTTGACTGGACCCATAGTATGATGTTTATGATTATATGTGTATTATTGTGGGTATGGGTATTTTGGGGGAAACTCACTAAGCTTTCGAGCTTACAGTTTCAGTTTATTGTTTCAGGTACATCAGGGGATCGCGACAAGTCGAAGGCATGATCGTACAGCTCCTCATGAATTGTTTATGTTTCTGGGAAACTCTGATATTATACATTTTGAAAACAAAGTTGTAATGATTTTTAATGGTTTGAAATGTTTTTAAAAGTTTTAAATTGGCCTGAATTTTGTGGGTGTTACAATTTAGTTCTACTAGGCCGCAAGTAGCGGCGTATCTAAGTGAAATTCCACGTGCTAAATGGACTAGAGCATATTCCCCGTCGAAACGGTATGATTACATGACCTCGAACAGTGCAGAGTCCATGAATGCTTTATCTGTAGATGCATGGAAGATGCCTATAGTACCCATTCTTGAGTTCTTCCGTCGTCTTTCACGGGAATGGTGTAACAAGCGTCGCATCGATGGAGGTATGACTTTAATTTGGACTTTAATTATGTCGAATAATAAGTTAATTATATATATCTTCTTTACAAGGAAACATTCAACAGTGCTAACGGAGTGGGCTGAAAAAGTAGTTAGGAAAAATGAAGAACGTACGACAGGATGGTCCGTTTCTGGTGATTCAGATGCAATATATCAAATGCATGATTTCAAACATGGTGGCATAGTTGATCTGAGGCAAGAGACTTGTACATGGAAATATTGGGAAGGAACTAGGTTGCCTTGTGGTCATGTCATAATGATCTTAAAGCACTTGAAAAAAACTAACTTTGGACATCTGGCTATAGATGCTTACAAAATGGAAATGTACAGAAGTACGTATGAGGAGGCGGTTTATCCCATTCCAGAACCGTGTGATTGGGAGATTCCTACTGAGATGATGGTTGTTAAACCCCTGATAATGGATACACGTCAAGCTGGTAGACCAAAAAACAGAAATTGTATCCCGTCACAGGGTGAGGAACCTATAATAAGAAGGTGTAG